GGAAGAAAGAAAGAAAGAAAGAAAGAAAGAAAGAAAGAAAGAAAGAAAGAAAGAAAGAAAGAAAGAAAGAAAGAAAGAAAGAAAGAGGAGAAAAAGGCTAGACTTGAGCATCCTAGACTGAACTATCCTCTATCCTGGTTAGTGCTGGAGAGAACTGAAGTCATGACGCCAGGGGCTGGCGAGAGAGCGCTTCAGTTAAGAGTGCTTGCCGCTCTTCCAGAGGACCAGAGTTTGGTTCCCAGCATCCATCAGGCTGCTTATAACCACCTGGAACTCCAGCCCCATGGGATCCAGTGCCCTCTTTTGGTACCCAGTCACATCACACACACACACACACACACACACACACACACACACTCACACCAGTGAGAGAGCTGAAAAAAGTCATAGGAATATATTTTAAGAACTAGGTGGTTATATAGTCTTTATATATCACCAGGGTAGATGAGGAAAGCTATGTCCCTACACTGTGCTGTAGGTTTGCCTCTGAAGGAAAAACCAAACCTCATTAGTGTTCGGTTGCAAATGACTGTCAGACCTTTGCCTTCTGAGAATTTATTTCCTGTGGCTGTGTGACCTGGGCTTGCTCCAGAAGAGTGGCTCAGTCATTGGACTTTGCTCTCTTAGGGCTCACACAAGTAAATTGCCACAAACTGGGTGGCCTAAAGCAAAAACATTTTATCACCTCACAGGTATGGGGCCCCAAGTCCTAAGTCAAGGTGTTGGGAGTGTCCACTCCTTTGGGCAGTCTACCGGGAAGTGTGCTGTGTGCCTCTCAATCCTTGACACTCTTCTGCCCTGAACTTCATCATTCTGACTTCTGCTACCAGATTCGCATGTTCTTCTCTGTGTGGCCTTGAGTCCCAAATCCCCCTCAAGTCACTAGAGTTAGGGCTCACCCTAGATCAAGGTGACATCATCTTCAGTTTCTGTAAAGGCTCTATGTTCAGGGACTGGAGAGATGGTTCAGTGGTCCAGAGCACTGGTTGCTCTTCCAGAGGACCTGGGTTCAGTTCCCAGTACCATATAATGACTCAGAACTGTCCATAACTCCACTTTCAGGCAATCTGATGCCCTCTTCTGGTTTTTTTTAGGTACCACACATATAGGGTGCACAGATATACATGCATGCAAAACCCTCATGCACATAAAATAAATTTTAAAAGAGAGCTAGTATAGACATACAGCCCTTAAAACCTCCTTCCTCTGAGCCCAGCAGCCTGTTGCCTTCTGTCTTTATATATTTTGAGAGAACACAAATATGTGCAGGAAATTGGCGGCTCCAGTAAATACTTCAGAGATGAGGAAGGAATGAGTATGGAGAAAAGAGGAGCCTCAGAACCTCCCTAACAGTGTGCCATTGTGTCTAGAAAGTTGGAGTAAGACTGTCTCCCTCCCTCCTCTCTCTTTTGCAGCAAACTGCCGAGCTGGGCTAGAGCTGTTGTTCCCAAAATATTTTATGTGACCGAGAAGGCTTGGAATTATTACCCCTATACAATCACAGGTAAGTCCTCAGGACAGGTCAGCAAGTCCAGGGCTGGGAGCGAAGTGGAATTTCACTGAGTGAGGGCAGACTGTCCCCACAGGGCCGGCTAGAGGTTTTCTCATCTGTGGTTCCCCTGCAGTTTGTCCACAAGCAAGTTGACTTTGTTTTTATTTTGCTTGGAGTTTTTCTCTCCTCTCAGAGAATGTGAGAATCTTTAATCTCGTCTTTATAACACCCTCTGTTCTGAATACTGTATCAGACACAATCCCCCTTCCCCAGATTCTGATGGTTGTGCCCCAGGGCTCATACACATGGGGTCTCGGGATCCCGTCTTCAGCGTCTTGGCAACTCTTCGTAATTGTTTTAAAAAGAAGAAGAAATGAGTCTACCAGGTTGATAGCAGTCCTTGGGGGAGGCTTTGCCCTGGAGGAGGTGGGAATGGGGGGTGGGCTGGGGGTCAGGGGAGGGCGTGGGAGGGGGGAGAACAGGGGAACCCGTGGCTGATATGTAGAACTGAATGGTATTGTAAAATAAAATAAAAGGGAAAAAAAAGAAGAAGAAAAAGAAAGAAAGAAGCTGCTTTTCAGCTGCAAAGATTCCCTTTGTGGTTAGTGAAATGTTCCACTGGAATTATCAGTCTTTCATTCTGCCTTTACAATGCCAACACTTGGGTTTTTAATTAGCCACAAACCTATAGGCTAATTGAATCTTGACTAACCAGCCTGATCTGGCCAGCCGCAGGAGTACCGGGAAACATAGAGACATTCAACATTTACAGAAACCTGATGTTTGGAGGGTGTCCTTAGCTCATTTTTAATAATTATAACTTGTCGGTAGCCATTAGTGGTTTGTGTTCTGTGAACTGGTCTCATTCATTTCTTCTCTTTTTCTTTTCCCTCTCCGCCATCTGAACGTCTGGAATCAGAATACACAGTAAGTTCATTTAATTTTCAAAAGTATTCTGCCTATGATCTGTGGATTAATTGGAATCTGCTTCATATTTGTCTTATTAATATAGTCATTTTTTAGAAAGAGGAATAATTCAGAATTAGAAATATTTAAATGTAGGCTATTATATAATTTTACATATAAGTTAAGTGTTCTCATTTTTTAAGACTATTAATGTAATTTAAGTGCCTTAATAGTCACTTTACATAATTAACTTTGGCTTGTGATTCTTATATAGCCTGTTTTATTGTTGAGAGTTCAATATAATAAGACTGTCTCACGATGTGGTATTAAAGACACTATGGTTTTGGTGGAGGCTGGGGCCTTTATATGGGGGAGATGCATATGCAGATGATCATACCAGTGCCAGAGTGCTCTGCCTCTGTGGCTGGATGAACTAATTGAATTCCTTCCTGTCCTAAGAGACAGACAGACTACCTTACTTGGCTTCCTGTTGCTGTAATAAAACTGACCAAATCTAACTCGGGGGGGCAGAAAGGGTTTATTTGGCTTCTGCATGTCCTGATCACAGCCTGTCATGAAGGGAAATGAGGCAGGAACCTGGAAGCAGAAACTGATGTAGAGGCCATGGGAGAACACTGCTTCCTGGCTGGCTCTCGTTCCTCTCGGCTCAGTCTGTTTTCAGGAGCACCTGCCCGGGGTGGCACCGCTCACAGTGGGCTGGGCCCTCCCACTTCAGTCATCAACCAAAAACAATGCCAGATCCCCTGGAGCTGGAGTTCCAGGCAGCTGTGAGCCACCCAGTGTGGAGGTGAGGGACCACATTTGGGTCCTGCAAGAGCACTCGAGCGCTGCTGAGCCACCTTCCCAGCCTTCCTCTCTGTATATTGACTGATCGTCATGGAGCGGACTCTGGGGGCCTAGGGAGATGGCTTATTTAGTAAAGTGCTTGCCTCGAAAACATGAGGACCTGAGTTAGAGCCAGCCCCTGCTTAAAAGCTGGGTATGGCAGCATCCATCTCTAACCTCAGGATTTGGGGCGGTGGTGGGGGTGGGGAGACGGGCAGATCCCTGATGCTCATTGGCTATCCACCCTGACTGAATTGATGAGCTTGAGCTTCAGCAGGAGACCTTGTCTCAAAATATAAGGTCGAGAGCAATCAAAGAAGAAACCTAACGTCAACCTTTGACCTCCACATGCACACACATGAACATCATCTGCGTGCACACGTGTATCCAAACACATACATACAACCACACGTGAACTCAGACAAAGGAAGTGGACTTTGGGGTTGGTTGAATCCTGCCTCCAATGCCTCCAAATGGCCCCCCTGTAAGCCCTTATCTCCTTATTTTTAAATGGGGAAGCTCTGTCAGCGTCTCACGAAGGTATAGTGATGATTGTGTTGAACAGTTCCTCTAAATCTTGTCGTAGTGCGTGGTCAGTACTTAGGACATGTTCATTGCTCTGTGTGGCACTATAGCGGAAGCTGTCATTCTCCTAGTCAACATAGGAACGGAGCTCGGAGCCAGTCAAGGCAGGTTGGGCTTTCTGTGTGGTCATGGAAGGACTGTCTGGGGGTAGGCAGTTACTGTTTTCCTTCTCCCACTCTTAAAGAGTGTGCCTTTTCATTTGAGATGAAATCAGTAGTGATGGTGATGTGGACAAAGAGAATTGGTATGCTTAAAACTGTACAAAGAGTAATTTGCCTGAAACCTTAGAATTAAATCACCTTGATTTGACCCCATGTGAACATGATACATGAACATGATAGTTTGGTTTGTTTTGTTTTTTTAGGACAAGGTCTCACTGTGTAGTTCTGGCTGGCCTGGAACTCACTTTGTAGACCAGGCTGGCCTTGAACTCAGAGATCCACCTGCCTCTGCTCTCCTCCGAGTCCTGGAATTAAAGGCGTGCACCACCTTATGAGCTCATGATAGACAGTATAACAAGGGAAGTGTGACTGCTGTTTAGTGATACTGTGTCATTTAAAGAATATGCATCCTTTGGTTACCATTCTCACTGCTGTGGCCAGGAAGGGTTTATTTGGGTCCCCAGTGAAAGGGGATACAGCCATCTTGAAGGAGAAGGCATGGCGGCCAGAATGGGAGGCAGCTTGGTCGAATGGTATCCCTTGTCAGAGAGCAGTAGATGCTGGTATTTCGGTTTCTCCCCCTCTTTATCCAGTTCAGGACCCCAGCCCATGGAGTGGTGATACCCACACTCGGGGTGTGTTATTGCACTTCCGACAGTCCAATCTAGAAACTCCCTTCAGACCTGGAGACGGTGCAAACAGCTGACAGTGCTGTCCTGTGAGGCCTTCCCGTGGGAGCCTCAGTTCCTCTTGAAGGGTTCTCAGTGGCTTGAACTTCCGCCAAGCCTCTGCCCCCCACCCTGAAACCCAGTATTCAAAGAGGGGGCTGTTTTAGTTGTCCAGGGTTGCGCCCCGTGACTTTCTGCCTGACTCAACACTTGACTTGCTCCCTCATTATTCTGCCCCCCTATCTTTTGCAAAATTCTTTCTTCCTCAATTCTTTGAGTTGCTGTCTCTCTGTGTGAGGTCAGCAGTCATTCACTGGGCAACCATGTGTGCAAAGCATCATGCTTGATGGCACCATGGAGCAGCTCTGCCCTTTGAGGTCATAATCTGGTGACACGTATGTGGACATCCCAGTCAGAGCCTTAGTGTTGTCAGCAAGTCTTGGGGGTCTTTTAGAGGTCAAAGAGGACTCAGCTGGCCTCAGGCTTGTCCCGTGGGACTGCACAGTCAGCAAGCTGAGCTGCCAGCTGGGGATCAAGTATGAAGAAAGAAATATGATGATACCAGACTGTCAAACCATTGCAACATGAAATGAAGGCCCTTGACCTCCAGACTGGAGCTTTGGGTTTCACTAATAATCTACCAGGTCCCCAGTGCAGGTGATGGGAATGGGTAGGGGAGTCAGAGGTAGATGGATCTCTATGAGTATGAGGCCACTGGTCCACATAGTAAGCCCTGTCTCAAAATAAAATAAAATATAATGAGGGGAAGGAACCTGAGATTCCCTCTAGACCCATGGAGAGAAAGGAACCTAGTTACATGCCACAGTAACTCCAAGGCCAGTCAAGTGCTCACAGAAACTACTGGAAGGGAGCTCCTGGCTTAATTAGGATTGGCACAGATGGTAAGATGGACAGTTGGATAATGTTAAATGTATTAGATGAATACATAACTGTCAGTATGCCTTTTTAAAAAATATTTTATCTGAGCAGGCCAGTGGTGGCAGCCGCCTTTAATCCCAGCACTTAGAAGACTGGATCTCTGTGAGTTTGAGGCCAGCCTGGTCTACAGAGTGAGTCCCAGAACAACCAGGCCTATACAGAGACCTTGTCTCAAAAAAAAAAGCAAAAAACAAAGAAAAAAGAAAAATATTTTATCTGTTATTATGGTGTGGGTCTGATTTGTGTGTGGGGTATGCCAAGGCCTTAGCACACAGGTAGAGGTCAGAGAAAATTTTCAGGAATTGGTTCTCTCATTCCACTGTGCGTTCCGGGATCGAACCCAGGGTCATCATGCCTGCCTGGCCAGTGCTTTATATCCAAGGAGCCATCTCACCAGAGCATCCTTTCTTTTCTTCCTTCCTTTCTTTTTTAAACTGCTCATCCTCCTGCCTCCACCTCTTGAGGGCTGGGATTACAGATGTGCACCGCCATGCCCAGTGAATTCAGGCCTGGGGCTGAACCCCGGAGCTTCAGGATGACTGGGAAGTACTTTACCCACCAAGCTACCCGAGTCATTATGGTGCTTTTGTTGATGATGGTCCGTTTGGGGGTTTTATTGTTGTTGTTATCCATTTACTTGTTTTTTTGAGACAGGTTCTCATATGTCAGCCTGGCTTCAAACTCACCATGTAGCCAAGGATAGCCTTTCAGTACTTCAATGGAGGCCTGGGTCGTATATAAACGTTATAATTGGAACATGTCTGGGAGATGGTGGCATTGACATTAACCTGGGGGATCGCAGAACTTTCTCTACAGACATCTGCTCTGTCTTAGCTTGGCCACTAGAACAAAATACCGTAGACTGGGAACTGAAAACAACAGGATATTTTGTTGTTGGTGTTGGTGGTGTTGGTTTTGTTTGTGTTTGTTTTGTCTCCCCTGGAGCCTGGAAGTCCAGGATCAAGTTAGCAGCCACTGTTCCTGGGGTGGCCTTTCTTCCTGATTTACAGAGAGTGAGCTCCTCTCCACACCCTAACATGGGCTGCAGAGAAAGCACGCTTTCTGTTCTCTCCTTATACGGAACTAATCCCATCTCGGGGCCTCCATTTTCCTGATCGTATCTAAACCTACTTCCTCCTTAAGGTCCCAGCTCCAAATACTGTCACATTGGGTGTTAGAGCTTTGATCCTGAAGCCGGGAGGGGGCAGTTCGGTATATAGCATGCTGATGTAGACACCATGGGTAGGTACTGCTGCTGGATCCTGGTGAGCAGGTCAGGTTGAGGGCAGGTCAGAGAGCTATAAAATGCCTGGTCAGGGTCTGCATGTCCTCCATAGAGAAACGGTATTGTTCCTGACGAATCCGCCTTCATTTTCCACTCCAAAATAGGCCTGCTTTTCTTTCCATCTCCCCAGTCACTGGGGAGCTGAAATGTTCCCTCTGGCTCCAGGTGCACTCCCGCAGGCCTGCCTAGCACATCCTGCAGCCGCCACTCCCTCCCACCCACCCCCGCTCCCCCACCCCACCCCAGGCTCGGGCTCTTGGGCTCGGCTCTGTTCTCACGCTCTCTGCCCACCCTTGACTCTGAACGCGGTTCTGCACCCGGCATGGCTGGCAGATGCTCTCGATTGCCTACATGTCTTCCTGTCTACAATACTGTCTAATTGAGCTTTTTATCTCCCGATCCTTTAATCTTAAATACCTCTCTTTTTTATGTCTTTCTCAAGTTCAAGATTTCCTGTCCTACATCCCAAAATGTAATTTCCCTCAACTAAGAATGCTGTGAGGTCCCTTCCTTTGAAAGGCTGCCCCTGGGGCCCTA